AGCCAGCTAGCTGCTGGAGATGTCACCAGGGGAGGGGAGCATGGCCATAGGTCCAGAGGAGGCTGGGAGCAATCTCCCAATCCGTGTTCCTCACCAGCAGGAACACCATGTCCTGGGAAAGGCTGTTGTTGTCAGGCTCCAAGTGCAGCTTTGGCTGGCGGGGGAGGGCTGGGGGTTGGGTACATCCCCCCAGCACCCAGGGAACCTGTGAAGCAGGAGCGCTGCAGATCCCTCTGTCACTGGCAGCATTTGCCAAAGCTTTAAACTTGCACTGCTACTAGAGAAGTGGCTTAGCCCTGTCCTGTCCTGGGTCCCCAAGCAGTGTGGGGTGTTCCCCCTGGTCCAAACAAACCTCCAATATTCCTCAGACACTGTCTGGGGACTGCCCAGAGCCCAACACAATGTGTCAACAGCCAGGTTGGCCACAGGGATGCTCCTGTTGACCCTCACTTATGTGGCTGTGGGTTGAACAAGGTGGCTCCTTGCTAAAACCCGTGGGAGCCAAAACCATGGGTTCCACCATCCCCACCTACTTCCCAGGCTCTGGGGAGATTTGGGGCCATAAGGCCATGAGGCTGCAGCTCCTGGCTAACCACACTGCTTGCACCTCTCTGTATCCTGCAGCCAAGAGGGACCAGTGTGTGCCCAGCACAGCTCCCCAACCAGCTCACACTGCTGACCCTGACCAGGGCTTGAGCCACCTCCCGGGACAGAGCTGGGACTGACTCAAGAGGTTGCTCAAAGCTGTGCTCTCTGCTCTACTAGTTCCCATCACAGCAACCCACTTCTAATTATATCCCCTAATTGCCTGCACGGGACTTCGGTGGCTTTCTCATGGTTAATGGGAACTTGGGGGTCAGAGGAGCAGTCTAGCATGTGCAGTGGTAGCACACCCTGACTGTGTCCTTTCCACGTGTCCCTGATCCCTGCCATGTATGGGGAAAGGCTGAGCCAGTCCTGAACTGAGTTTTCCTAAAACCAAAATAAAAATAACAGACCCATTTCTCCAAGTCTCCTCTCCTTGGGTCCTGGTGCTGAATCAACCTTGGCAGAGGTGGGGAATGGGAGAGGAGTTAATGAGCTGTAACTGATGGACCTACTCTCTGCCACTGAGCTTCCATGGCATTGTGGGCACATCACCCAGTGTCCCTACCATGCTGTGCCATGCCATGCTGGAGGCTGCACGGGACAGCCAAGGGGGATGGGGCTCCAGCAAGACTGAAGGCAGCATGCTGCTCCACCCTGCAGGATCAGGGTCCCCCACCCCAAATGGCAGGCATGCTGGGAGGGCTGACCCTCACATGAACTTCCCTCCTCAGTTGTTTTTCCACCAGAGCCGAGTGGGAGCCAGCCCCCGCCTGCTGCAGATGTTTGGCAGGAGTCCGGGGGCGGAAGGCCAGGCACTTCCAGCCCCCTGGTCACCATGCTGCTGCTGCCACCAGCCTCCCCAGCTGTCCCCCAACCACACATGGGGGGCTGTAGAGACATTGTGCCAGGCTGCAGGGCCACAGCTGAGCACAAGGAACATGAAACCAGCAGCTGGGACCATGTACTGCTTCTGGCTGGGCCTGTCCCAGAGCTGGCCAAGGAGTTTTTTCCATGTAGAGTGACAGAGATGTTGCCAGCAGCATGACAGGGTGGCAGCAAGGAGCTTGGGCAGCAGCAGGGAGCACTGCCCTGGCTAGCAGCAGTGCAGCTAGCAGCAGTAGCAGCCTGGCCTGGCATCAATCCCAGGACAATCTCTGAACTTTTGTTCTAGGTGTGCAACAGGAGCCAAAGCAAAACAAGCTCTGCCGGATGAGAGGCCCCAGCTCTTAGAGCACCAGGCATCCCCTCACTGCCATCCTGCAGCTCACCCCGCCCTCACTGCCCTGCCCCAGCCCTTGTGCTCCTGCACACTGCCCTGGTTGGGCAGCAGCCTCCCTGCTAGGCATGGTGCCAGCACCCTTTGGACCCCCTTCCCAACTGCCCCCAGGGCTATGACCACGAGTGCTGCCATAACTACCTGTGCCAGGGAAGGATTTGCTCCATGCAGAAAAACCTCTGGCCCATTGTCCCGGGGAGACTACCCAGAGATGAGGTGAAAACCAGCACCCTGCATCCCCTCCTCCCTGCAGGGTCTGCCCCATCCACTTCCCCCAGCAGCATCCCCCCTGGGCCAGCAGCCAGATCCTGCCATGCTCCAGCACCTCCAGGGAAGCATCCTGGTGGTTGCTGAATCACCTCAGCACCCGCATCGTCCCTGCCTGCCACGGCGTCACCGCGGCAGGACCCGCTCCTCAACAGGCAGGAAAAGGCAGTTTTCCTTGGCTAAACACCACACAAACACTGCCTCTGAGCGCCAGCATTGTTCAAGCACTGGAGCCAAGGCTGGGGCGGGATTTGCTTCTCTCGCTCTGTCCTGGAGGAGGAATTTCCAACTCTATAGTGTTGGAAATTCAGTCTAAATCTATTCCCCCATCTTCATGCTTTAAAAATGTCCTGGCTCTCCCTGCTTTCCCCCTGCTGCCATTTCGCTCTGTGCAATTTGTTGTTGTTATGATCAAACCCCTGTCTTTCCAAGACCTTTCCTGGAAATGTTTGCTACGGGCTTGAAACTTCCCAGAAAACTCATACCATGAAAGGAAACCTCTCACATCCCTTGGCTGCTCATGACAAGGGGTATGCAGAAGTGAGAACAGCTACCAGGCATGGTTGCATGGTCTGGGGGGGAGGCATTCCAAGCTTTTCTTTGTGTTTTGCTCCAAACCAGGCTTTCTTCTCAAACTGCTCCAACAATGTTTGTGGCTTCTTTGCTATTCGTCTCATGGCAAAGCTGCTCAGATCCGGTTCCTGCTGCCAGATGCCGCTGGCCATGTCACGGTGTCCCCAGGGAAGCAATGCTGGGGTGGGGTGTGGGGGGAAGCAGAGCTGGGGCTGCTCCCACCCTGCACGTCTGTAATGTCCTCCAGCTGCCGCTGCACTGTGCCAGCAAGGGAGGAACAACAGGAAAATAACTCTGGTTATTTGTCTCAAATTCTGCAACTTGAGAGGGGAAGAGAGTTAACAGTTCAAAAAAGAAATTTGCTTCTGGAACAGGCAAGGAATACTTGTCCATTCCCTCCCAGCACAACCACAGCCTGTGGCTTCAGCGCAGGCATTTCCACTCCTTGGGGTCTGCATCCTGTGCTGGGTTCCCACCCCAGGGTGGAGGTGTTTGCCCAAGGTCCTGCATACTGGGAATCACCTGGCCCCAACACCCAAAGCAAACCCAATGCCAGCTGTCACATGGGGATGGAATGCAGGGTTTCCAGCACTGCAGGGCTTCCAGCACTGCAGGGCTGGTTGCTCTTTCCAGCAGAGAAAATGCGATTTAAACAATTCCCACTAGCATCACCATAACATTTCCCCACATCACAGCCTGATTCATCTCATTATTTGTGACCTTTCTCACCATGAGTCACTAGGACACTGTTTCCAACCCCAGGACCTGCCGCACACTGAACCCCAGCACACAGGGTTCATGTCGGTCACATGAGCGGGAGAAAACCAGTCATCACCACTGTCAGAAAGTCCTGAGGGATCCATCCCACTCACTGTCTGACAGTTGTTGCCAGACTGAGGTTTGCCCTCCTGGAGTGTGGGGCCAGACAGGCAGTGTGTGTCCTGCAAAGCTGTGGCCACCAGGCTCCAAGGCCACGCAGAACCCCAGGGACCTTGAGCCAAGGAGGTCAGTGCAGGGAGAGCTTCTGGAGAGGCTGCAGAGTATCTCAGATCCTGCACACAGGCACACAGGTATCACCTGCAGCATGGACAGAGCCACATGACATGCTCATGTGTAGTATATGAAGTCCATTTATTTCATAACAAAGGGCAATACAAGAACTTACATGGTCCCTTGGCACTGCCTGGGCATGAACCTGCTCCTCCTGCTTTACCTGCCCAGGTGAGGGGTGCTCATGCTCAGACCCCCCAACAGGGCTGGTGTGCTGGGCAAATGGTGAGAGCTCTTGCAAGCACGAGCAGGGAGTGCAGCCAGCGTGCAGCCAGGCAGGTTGGTAGGAGCTGCCCATGTTCCTCTGCCCCACAAGACTCAGAGGAACCAAGCACCCCATAGGATTTTCCTAC